AAAAAAAAAAAAAAAACCTAAATCCCTAAGTGCTGTCAAAAGCGGCCTTGGCAGGCTGGTTAGCTGCGTGAGTCTCCAGGCACGGGCTGGCCCGGTGCTTCACAGTAGTTGGGATCTCATGACTCCTTATAGGGGATTACATAGGGNNTATTACGGGGGATACTAGGAGTTAAGACCATAGCTCTCATGAGCGTGAAGGTAGCGCACATGCATATACATATATATATATATACATTTGTATGGTCTCACAGTTGTCTGAAAAACTGAGCCTCATTCTTGTACCCCAAAATGTTTGTTGTCGTGCTATAGTTGGCACCAAAGGGCAAAAATGTTATGTTGAGCAAGATCTCGAGCAGAAGAGGTGGCAGCACTGACAGGCCTGGAATGACGACTCACCGCCTCCGCCGCCCCCCCGTCCCCCGCGCAGGAGCCTCTGGATATGTTCGATGGAATCTGCGCTGTCGCCAAAATTCCAAGCACAATCCTACAGGCATGTCATTTTTCGTTTTTGCAGGGCTTGTGGGCTCAACTGTGCGGCAGCCTCGTTTCCGTTTCATGCTGCCATGTTTTTGGGTTGCCAAGCCTGTCCTTCTGTGTTCATGGATGCGCCCTGGCTTCATTACGCCTTTGCAAAGCAGATGTGTAAGAACAACCGCTTGTGCATCGTGATGACGATTGGTTCTTCTAAGGATGACATCCATGATGTCAGTCTCTCCAACATTGACGAATCGAAGGAAATAATGGACAACACGTTTGCCAACAAGCTGAAGAAGCATGTGGCTTTCAAGGCCAGGGCAGAATCTACTCGTACACTTCTTGTCTGCGCTTGGTGGTTTTTTCCTCATCATCTTTTGCTTTGCAAGGACGAGGGTCAGACCATCTGCCCGACCTGCGGCTCCACACGAGCTCCTCCCACGGATCAGAGCTCCCCAACACCCTTTGCCAGAAGGGAAACCAGCAGAAAGGTGCCGCTCACAACAGTCATTCTAGAACAGCAACGCGGTTGCACATGGTTCAGGCAGCTGGTGCCTGCATCCGCCATCCTCGTTAAGTGGTCCACATTGCAAATCTTTGGCTGAGGGAGCATTTATTTGATGCGCATTGAACTTGACAGTTAGGCAGAAGAAGCAGCAGCTGAGAGCAAGGCCTCGGAGTTGCCTCAGTAACCTTTTTCTGCCTTTCCTCGTCTAATTCTTGTAACTTACTGACCAGTGGAAAAGGGTAAGGAGGTGATTTTGCAGGCTACGGCTACACACCATTCCAGTGTGCGGGGTGCATGTTAGCAACAGTTCTCTTCGCTTCTGTGGTGGCAGAACATCTCCACTGTTGATGCTGTTGCTTGTCAGCCCTGCAGCCAGGATCAAGCTGATGAGCTTTCTTAGCAAGAACGGCTTTGCAGCCAGAGATGTGAACTGCAAGAAGCGCGGCGCCTTCGGCTTTTCACGCACCCCGCCTCTGTTGAAATGCTTGGCGGGCTTCAATGTCATGTTAAAGCAGGAGTGTTGAGACATGACCCGCTCGTTCAATTCTGCAAGTCAGGTACTTACCCGCTGCATGAGGCTGTGAAGCAGGATCAGGCTTCCATGGTGCGTTGGCTGTTGCACTTTGGAGCTGATCCTGGCAAGAAGGATGGCAGAGGCCGGGTCATCTCAACTTTGAGGTATACGCAAAACTGTACTTGGTGTGTTCTTTTTTAGGTGCCGCTTGAGAGTGGTCCTTGGCACAGCTATTGCGGTTGTTAGCACTGCCGTTGCCATTGTTCTCAGACCTACTGGCGCTCAGTAAGGAATAAGGGAATGCAAATTTCGTAAAATCCCAATAGAAAATTCACCACTAACCCTCAACCCTAAACCCTAAAGCGCGAGGGCGCACAGCCTACGACTACGTCAAGAAAAAGCCTGCGCATGACGAGGCGCGGGGGTGCAGAGGCTTGCTGGGGGTTAGTAGGGAATAAGGGAATATGTTCTACAGTGTCTACAGGGGTTGCATAGGGACGATGTTCCCTTATTCCCTGCCAACTGTAAGGAGGAGAGCCACAAGTATTGCTGAACCCCACTAAACCTCAAAGTAAAATCTGATTAAGTGTCGTTCAGTTGTTCGGCAGGGACAATTGGCAGGACCCTGGCTGGTGGATACATCGAGATTCCCCTGCATGCAAGGCATATAATTGAAGGTCCCTTTGTGTGCAAAGCAGACTGTTGTTGGCACAAGACTTCAAATTACGCTTAGTACTCTTGACGCGCGACACTGACATGTTTCCAGTAATGTGTTGTGGATGAGCTTTCTTCTGAGCAGCTGATGAGCAGGTGCGCCGGTTGATGGAGAGCTACATTGCCAGGCAGCAGCAGTCTGCTTGGTATAGGACGCGGCTGGGTTGGGTTGGGACTGGGGCCTGGGATGCGGAGCAACGTCGTGTCAGGATGATGAAATTCAGTTGTGGTGTGTGTTTTTTTTTTCCCCCCCATGGTCATGGCGGTGATTGTTGTGCTTATCGTGGTGGTGGTGCCGATGGTGGCGGTGCTGTTGCTGCGGTGCTGGTGCAGGATTATGCCGCCACAGGGATTTGAGGAATTCCTCGAGGAGGTCAGACAGCAAAAAGATGCCTTGCCCTCAGACTATCATCTTAGTGTGTGCAGCTTCACGCAAAGTTGCAAGCCGCACATATGAGACCAGCATCTAGCTTATTCTCGCGAGTGCTTGATTTGATGTGATGACTTTAGCCAATGGACCGGAATCGCTGCTCACTTCCAGGATCCACTGAAATGACTTGGATTGAGTAAGAAGTAACGGTTCACATGGTAGTTGGTCAGAGTTCCTTTCCAAAAATGACCATTATGGAAAATCATTGCCCGAGACATACAGGATCCCTAGATAATTTCCCTAAAGGACCTTGAGACGAACCCCCACATGCATCAAACAGCGGCGATCCTACCCGAATTCCCGCAATGCATAACACAGATTTAACAGAACGTCTAGCAGCCCCAGATCATAGTTTCTTTAGGGTTTGGGTTCAGGTGCGCCCCTAGGCCCTAGACACAGTCGGATCTTGGTTTTGTAGAGATGCAGTAGGATTGGAAGCCTGAAGCGTGACAAAGGGTCCGTACTTCAAGGCAGAAGCCTAAACCCGCTTACGGTTTAGTGTTTAGGAGCCCCAGGAGAAAATCCAGAATCTTCCACTTGTGGGCCCCTTAGCCCAGGAGCTTCTTCCTAGACACAAAATCAGTGCGCAATTGGCCTTTGGGGCCAGTGTCTTGCTTCAACAACACTGGGTCAATTGTTTGGGATCCTTCAGAATTCGTGGTGGCCAGGGTTTCCGTGTACAATTGCAAGATCTTTTCCCCTCGGGTATAACAGATTGAGAACACGTGAGGAAGGTTCTTGTCGTGTTTTTGCATAGTTGCCGTCAATGTTGGGCTTACCAAGCGACCATTCAGGGTGGACGTAGGGTTTTCTTTGGTAGTCTGGGAAAGGTCCCCAACATATGCCCTAATATGGACCCATGTCCATTGACTACATGAAGGAATCTTGAGTGTAGCTCATACGGGATTCACTGGGATGACTGGTTAGTACATATCATTGGCTGGTTTACGTAGGGTTAGAATCAGTAACAGCAGCAACATCTGCAATGTATTCGTAGTACCGGAGGAACAGCAAAATCGCTACATTAGCCATGTACTGTTGGTGGAGGAAGTCGTACACAATCTGAAGCCCCTCGAATCTTTGAAATTACGCTTCTTACATCAACATGAAGTTTTAAACTTCATGGTCTGCCAAACCCAAGCACCTTTTTTCTGGGCCTGTAACATTAGTACATTATAATCTAAAATAGTATAATATACTATAACATCTTTTGATATACACAGGGTGGGTTCAAGGACTCATCTCATGTGAGTGGGCACATGCTTTTCCTTGAGTAGCATTGCCGGCCAAGAAAGTGTTCGCGCATCCCCACCGCGACCCTGCCAACTTGCCCTCCAGAAACAATGCCATTTCTTTGGGCCCTAAAGGTGACCTTGGCATTCATAACCATGCTTCTGGCACCGACTTGGCTGCCTCTCTTGTAGACAATTCGCCTACGCCCAGAGTTTTCAACCTTCTGCTACTGCAGTCCACTGCCTCTTGGTCTGGTGAATGCTGGACGCAACAGTTTGCTACACCCTGCAGTTTGAGTCATCTGCAGCACCAGTCTTGGTCGTCTCCTTGAAGGTTGCCTCTCGTGCCTGGTTCCCCTCCGCAGAGGAAATTGCGTGCAAACAAGATTGGCGTGTGCTCCATGTTTGGTGCTATGCCAATGGCTGCCTGTCGACGCTCTTTTGTGCACATGGACTGGCCGTGATGCGTTGCAGGTGCCATGGGCCCTCGATGGTGTGGCCTGCGCGGCTGTGGCTTTGGCATCCCTTGGTCTGTATGTTCCGTTTGTTGCCGTGGAGAGTGATGCATCCCTCAAGGAGGCAGCCTTTTCTTGCTTTGCCAAGACATGGCATTTTGGGGATGTCCTCGACTTCCGTGTCTCCTCGTTGCCAAGCAAGCTCAACAGGGCCCAATTCTGGATGGTCCCCGTTGCGGTCCCCACCCATGTGCTCGCTTCCTCGCTCATGTGCTCGGGGTCTCTGACGAGGCTCGCGCTATCTGTCCAGTGCCTTGCGCCTCGCCATCTGCTGTATCTTGGAGAATGTCCAGCAAGCGCCTATTTCATTTTGAAATGCTGCATCCAGGGCCTTCAGCAGTAGCCTCTTTCTGACCAACGCGAGCGATTTCGAACAGGTACTGCGCCCTAGGTCTTGGTGGGCTCAGTCCAGCATTGACTTTCTTCATCGAGCCCAGCAATACCACAGGGCGAAGTTTGGTGGTTGACATGTACTTGACGCAACAAGCGCCAAGGTACCCACTTCTGCAATGTCAGCAGGGAAACCTGGACACTCCAGCCGGATGTGTTGCGCTGGCAGAACTATACACAAACACGAATTCGGAAATGTGGAGTGAAAGCTTGTTTGAAGAACCTGCCCACATCGTCTCAGACGCCGCAGCAAGGCAGGAAAATCATGACATCATTCATCCACAGCCCTAACTGCCGATGTCGCTTGTAGTCATCCTGTTGCAAATCCGCGACCAGCTCCCATGCTGCAGCTTGGCATCGAAGCCTGTTGTGCGGAATGAGGCCGGCCTTTCGCAGCTGCACCCAACCAAGCTGCGCTGTCGAAGCCTTGAGCAGCGCTTGCGATGCGACTAAGAACCGAAGCACCCATCGCAGCTACGGGATAAAAGCCTGTCTGATGTGGGACTTTGCGTTGCTTGCCCTGATGCTGAAAGTGTGAAGAAAATCATCCACAGCAATGCCCACTTGATGTGCTTCTCACAGGCGGTTTGCTTCGAACCCATCAACACGCCGCCGTCCAAAACCACATAGTCGCATGCTTGTCGGCCACGCCATGCGGTGAGGCAGCTTGCATTCGTGGCTGAGGCAATGGTAGAAACGGCTCACACAGGTCCAGGCGCCAGAAAACACCCAACAGCACGCCGATGACGAACTCAAACGTAATTTTTTTCGGATCGGCCGCAGTTGATCGTTCACGGGGTCCCTGGCTTGACAAAAGCATAGATCTGGTCATACACACACTGACAGCTTGCCAGATCAAAAATCTCCCGAACACCCAATTGCTGGCGCACTAGCCCTGGCAAGGCCCAGCCCGTTTTCATTAGACGCACTGTCACCAGGCCACGCAGCGTGTTGGAGGGACTGCTATACGCGCGCCATTTTCAAGAGATACGCCAACGCAAGTTGCACAGAGCACGTCGCTTACATCTTTGGCTCTATGTCGACCGCCACGTGCCTGTTTACTTCAGCATCCAAACAGTCACCGGCCGCCAAAGTGTAATCCTGACCTGCATCACGGACGGACATCACGTCATCAATAAGCTGCCGCGAAGACTTAATGAAACGACAAAGGCGCGATAGCCTCACATGACACAGCGCCGCAGAACGCGTGACTCAATCAGTCCTGCAGCACTCCTTGTGCGTTGAGGAAGAATTCTGGAGCTACGTACGAACTCCAAACAAACCCCGTGGGCCACGTCAAGCTCACAGGGTGGAGAGATGTCGCCTTGCAATTTTTCCGCCTGTCATGCCTCCTTTGCGCAACAATTCATGTAAACTGACACGCGGCCTGCCCATCCAGCGCCGCAGCCATGTCAGTTAACGGACTTGATCAAGCCAGCAACTGATGTACCTGGCCTGCAACACGCCCGCGCGGTTTTTGGAGGCAAGGTGTCCGCAGCAGAAACCCGACACCCCGCGCGCAGTTCCAAGCTTTCCCTGTGCGATCACCACGCCGTTGCCTGTCACCTGCACTGCCAGCCCCAATTGCTCAGCTCTCAATTGCCCAATAGCAGTTGGACGTGTTCAAATTTGCTGTCCGATGCCAGGCCCTCAAAATCAGACAGCCTGTCGTGCACACCGACAAACATAACAGATTCTTCCGTAAGAATGTTCTGCACACTTTCCGGCACGCATAAGATCGGTCGTGAACTCCAACTCGCGGCAACACGTCTACAGCTTCAGCACAAAGTGTGCCATACTTGCGACGAGCCGGGCTTTCCGGAAGAAGCACCTATTCTGGCGAGAGGGATTCCCATGACCCAGGCTCTGGTTTTTACACTCGGTCGTGAAAATCCACACGACGAACCGATGCAGCAGGTTAGTGTGCGCGGCCGTGCAGGAAACACCCCAAGAACAAGCTCGTTACCATTTCGCAAATTTAGGGCACTAATCACATGACAAATCCACTTGGAAGCTTGCATTCCTCGACATGTAGCAGAGCCTCGGGATGCGGTGGTCGTCAAGCTGTTTGGAGACATTCCTTACCAAAAACAGTCCGCTGCTGCACTGCAAGACGATGCACAAGCCACAGGCGTTCTGTTGGAATAAGTGAGTGCTGCCGCGATCGCCAGTCGGGC